GAAGATACAAAGTCAAGGTCAAGAGAAAGATATTTTCTTTAGTGTCTAAAGAAACTTTATCTTCATTGATGTTGTTATTAATTGCAGAACCTTCATCAGTAGATTAGTAACATGTATTGAGTACTTATTATATACTAGGAACCTTACATTTTTGCATTTTACAAACATTATTTCCCTTAATAGAATAACCCAGTTAGATAAGTACCAGTATTAATTCCTTCTTGCAGATAAAAACAAACAAATAAACAAACTGGAATCTAGAAAGGTTGGTTGTTTTGTCCCAAATCCCCAGGCCAGTGAGTGCTGAACAGGGATTCGACACCAGATTGCTGAGCTCCAAGGGCTCATGCGATTATGTAGCACATTATATTGCTCCCCAAGTATCAACAGCCACTGTGACTTGTTGAATGATTGCTAAATGAGAAAGATTTACTAATTGACCTAAGATAATACCACTAGTGAGTGGTAGAACCAGAATTTAGCATCTCTGACTCCAAAGGTCAAGATCTTCCTACCAAAATTGTACTTTGAAAGTAAAGTCATTTAAAATGTTTCTAAGTGACTAATGGACTTGTAATCAATTACAATTAAGGTGCCTCCCTAGACATCATCAGAATGTAGGCAACCTGTTATTATGGGAAAATATTCAAATAAATAAACTAGGGAATGAAATGAAAAAGGGCAATATTGCAATAATGCATACAAGAAATGGGTACTAATGTCCTCAAGGGAACATATAGCTTTTCTTCAAAATTGTCCAAGGGAGAAGATTTATTTTTCAGCCCATATGTATAAAATCCTTGTCAGTTTATGATGAAGGATGGTAATTAATAATCAATCTTGAAATGAAGTATTTATTCTTTGAAGCTATTTAATCCCCTTTTCTGACTCTCATTAATTGAGTGAGCTTTGTATGTCCCTTAAGTTTCTCTCCAGACCAAGACATTATTAACCAACCTGGCTGAATATTAGGTATGCTTATGAGTTATGCTGCTGTTATTAAGGAATAATAACAAAAAAGAAAATCATGAAAACCAAATGTAATTCATGATCCTTGATTAAGTTTTGGATCACAGGGAAAAAATGCCATCAAGGACAACAGTGGGACAATTTGAGAAAATAGTGTGTGGATTGTATATTGGATACAAGTATTTTGTCAATGTTAATTTTCCTGAATTAAGTAATTACTCTGTGGTTTTGGTGAATTACATTGAAGAAAAAAAGAAAAAAGAAAAAGATATTGAAGTATTTTGGGGCAAAGGGACATGATATCCAAGACTTATTCTCAAAAGTTTGTCTCAAGAAAAAGGTGAATCTATAAAGAGAATAGGATGACAAAGCGAATGAGGGAAAATATTAGAAATTAGTGAATAAAAATATATGGGAGTTCTTTGCATTGCTATAGCAACTCCTCCAAAAGCTTGAAGTTATTTTAAAATAAAAAGTAAAAAAACAACAGTTTTGTGCTTTCATATTTGGTACATTCTTCAGGCTTGATGAATCTTTAAATAAGTTACTTGACAAAAGGTAAACAATCTAAAATCTTAAAATCTGGTGAAATCCACTGCAGGATACACCATGTCAGCCTCCTAGGAACAGTTCTATAAAATTCAGAGATGTCCATTTTTTAAATAAAATGAAATGCTCGTGAAACTAGTGAACACGTGGCACTAAATCAAACATGTGACAAGCATTGCTATACCTTTGCCACAGATAATTCATTTGGCAAGAAAGTTGACTTTCTAGGGATTTTGGAATTATCCTAAGGGTTTATGGATGTCACTATTTTTCCCTAAGATAATCCCACCATTCAGAATCCAAAGGCCAGCTTCTTTAAGGATGTAGGGCATTCTTAAGTCCCCACCAAGAAGTTTGTGGCCATCCCTACTCTTCCACAGAATGTCAGAGTGATCATTGAGCCATTTCGCTCTCATTTGTGCCCTGACTCAGGATCATATCTTCCAGAATACCACAGTCCCAGCATGCTATATGAATAAGCTTCCGTGCCCTTGTTGCAGTCACCAAATTTTGGTATCCAGGAAATTCAGCCATCATCTCCAATTCTCTTTCCAGTATATTCTTTTACCATCAAAATGGGAAGGCTCAAATGCTTCTACAGAGAATATGTAAACAAAAGTCCCAAGATAAATCAGCAAATGAAATTCTAATTGGGAACTTGTGCTTCATGTGAAAACATTACTTGGTTATTTGATGTGAAGAAGAAGAAGAAGAAAAAGAGGAAGAGGAAGAAGAAAGAAGAAGAAGAAGAAGAAGGAGGAGGAGGAGGAGAAGAAGAAAGAAGAAAGAAGAAGAAGGAGGAGGAGAAGGAGGAGGAGGAGGAAGAAGAAGAAGAAAGAAGAAAAAGAAGAAAAGATGAAGAAGAAGAAGAAGAAGAAGAAGAAAAAGAAGAAGAAGAAGAAGAAAGAAGCAGAAGAAGAAGAAGAAGAAGAAGAAAGAAAGAAAGAAAGAAAGAAAGAAAGAAAGAAAGAAAAGACAAAAAACAAACCCAGAAGATAAAAGCTTTCAGGAGATGGTATGGGAGGTGCACTTCTAAAGGTCCAAGTGAAATGAGACTCAAAAAAAATCACGCATTACCCAGGCAAAGGGGTCTTCTAGGTTCATCACTCTCTCCAAGTATGTAAAGAAATGGCTAAAGTCCCCTACTTTGAGTTAGCTCTATTTTTCAATTGGCCACAAAAAATTTTAAGAAAAATATTTTCCCCCGATTTCTCCTTGGCTATTACAATATAATGCAGAAGCATGTATTCTTAAAAAAAAAAAAAAAATGAGGGGAGGGGAAGGAGGTGGGGAGACACTAGGACATTTGAAAATTTGCATCTGATCCCCAACATTGCCTCTGCCTGAACAGTTAGTTTTAACTTTTGTGATTCCTTTAGTATTCCTGGAGAAGAAAATACTTTCTACCATGTGGATATTGAGGACAATGATATCATATTAATGACTGCAGAACCAAATTCTTCATGATAAAATTCCTTATTATATTTTCTGTAGCACATGGGCTAATAAAATACCCTTCAGCTTTTCAAGGCTTGAAGAAATATTGTGAGCATAGCTTTATAAATCGGAGGAAAAGAAAGACAAATAATGCCTAGAGGCTCAGGACGATATAAAACAGATATTTTGTTTAATCCTGTAATGTCTTATTTATACTATGAAGATTTAATTTTCAAATATTTAAACTTGTTTCTGGCTTTTGTCTTTCACCCTCTTTGTTTTACATTTTAAAATGTTCTGTTGGGTTGCCATTACAATATTAACTTATCTACCTATTAATTTATTTATACATGGTTTTAAACACATCTCTTAAAAATGTAGACACTGTCTGGTTTTTGGAAAACACAACCCTCTTTTGTATATGGGTATTTTTTTCTTCTCAACGTCCAAAGATTTTTCAGTTCTCCTCATGCCTTGGATTCCTCCAGTTTTCAAAGTGATAATTGTGTCCCAAATCTTACAAGTTAGTCCTGATTGCCAATCTTACAGGCCCACACAATTTTGAGAAACTTTTGCAATTGGAGTTGAAATTATTTCGGGTCTAAGAAGCCAAAGAATTCCATTTGTTCACACACAGTGGTGCTCCACTCTGGCAGCTATTATATGTTGTAACAATGGTGTTACTGAGGGGTCTACTAAAGTAAAATGGCAAGCAATTATATTTATAAAATCTGAATCTGAAAAAAAAAATGTTATCCTAAACATTAGTAAGCTTAAATTTTAGGTTGCAACTAAGAACATTTTGAAAGATGTATACACACAAAATATTCACTTATTTTTACTTTCTACATGGGATCCCAGACAGAAAGTTCTTTGTATGAGGGCATCAATATGTAACTTCTTTAGTTTACACAGAGAGCGTTGTACCAGTTGCTCCTCCTTGACCCCCAGCTCTCTCCTCAGAATGCTCAGTGCTAATATTTTGTGTATAACAGCATCCTCCAATGTGGATTCCTTAGTGTTAATAGGTATTAAATGAGGGTGGGAGAAACGGAAAGTCTATGGTTAAATAAATTTGGGAGAAAATCTGTATTAAACAAGACTAAACAAGTTGTAGAACTTCTCAGAATCTAGAACACACCACTGTGCAATTTGAAACTCCTAGAGAGGAAAATATGATATAGAATTTTTCCCATTTTTTCCCCCAAAGAAACATGTCCTGAGAGAGAGAGAGAGAGTATGTTTATTCACTGCAAATCTGCTCATTATTAAGGCTCAAATCCAGTCAAATTTCCTTCAAGAGGCTATTTCCAGTTCCCTCAGTTAAAGGTCATCCCTACCCCTTTGGTACATTATTACCACGCTCTTCAGTTTCTTTGAATTCTCATTCCCTTTCTATGACCCATCATTAAAAAAAAAATTTTTTTTTGTATGGTGTCTTTGTTCTCCACTAAATCAAATCATCTTGAGGTAATGGAACATCCACTATTCAACTATTTGGTTTTTTTGTTTGTTTGTTTGTTTATGTTGTTGTTCTGTTAGCCAACATATAGTACACACCTAATGTAGCACCCAGAACCTTCTAGAAACTCAATAAATGTTTGCTGAAAGACTGAAGCCACCTACCCCAAACGTTTGCTATTGATTTCAAAAATTCCTCTGGAAAAGAAAATATGTTTCTTTACCTATTTGAGAATGAGTGAATTTGACTTTTATTCTTTAGTACATCTTTATACCCAATTTAACACTGATTTTGAGTGACAGGGAGAGTAAATCACCATAACCAAAACTTCTACTTAAAAAATTCAAACCAGGGGTGCCTGGGTGGCTTAGTCAGTTGAGTGACTCTTGATTTCAGCTCAGGTCATGATCTCAGGGTCGTGGGATCGAGCCCAGCATGGGGCTCCATGCTCAGTGTGGAGTCTGCTTCTCCCTCTCCCTCTGCTCCTCCCCCGCTCGTGTTCTCCTCTTTCTCTCTCTCTCTCTCTCAAATAAATAAATAAATAAATAAATAAATTCTTTAAAAAAAATTCAAACTTAACAAAAATCATGCAAGGTTGTTTTTATTAAGCTTTATGTTTAGATTACAGCTAAGTATTTCAGGCATTGCTTCATTTGACAAGCAGACATGACATTCAAGGAAACATTTCAACAAACTCCAATGACTTCACAACTACTGCGAACAGAACATATCTACTCTGCAGCTCAAAGGTGTGTTAAGGACTTAAAGGGGTTGTTAGAGAAAGAAGCTACATGACAACTGGTCCTCTTCTATAACATGATTATCCTGGATGAGTAACTACAAGGAGAAGCACATAACTATTACGGAGCTTGGAGAGATCTCACATCAGCTCCATCCTTGTTTTACAGATAGGACTTGAGGGTCACATATCAGAAGATAAAGGATTCTTTCAGAATAAGCTACATGTCAAGTTTTCTATGTGTAGTTTTAATGCTAATATGATTAGCTTATGTTTAAAAAAAAATCAAGAAAAGAACAATTGTGTATTTAAAACCCACTACAATATATTAGTGACTATAGGAGATGCTTAGTCATTGAGGATTCTTTGCTCCATTCTTGTGGTTTCTTTATGAGTTCTTCTGAGAAATTTTCATTGTGACCGTCTTGACCTCTGTATATTCGTGGAGACCATATTCTCCCCTAGAGAGAGGGGGAGAAACCCACAGAATTTAGCACAGCAGTGCAAATGTACCATAGTCCATGATTTAGTACAAATTTGTTCTTGCCTATCTGGCTAGGGACAATGGAAAATATTTTCTGTGTACAGAAGCATTTCAAATAGTAGCCAGCCAACCATAAGATATCGGGTCTCACATAAATCCCCCTGTGGGGAACCTTTTCAAGCCCTTTTTTTTTTTTTTTGGCATTTTAAATGACTATTACATTCTGTTGATTTTCACATAAATTATCTAGTTTTGACATCGTTCTATTTGACTATAAACAAGCTCACCACACACACACACAAAAAAGACAGTTCAGTCCAACAAGAATCTTACCATTTCTAGTTTAGGTTTGAATACATAAGACAGATAATAGTACAAAAGGAGAAATCGTAATATATAATCACTTGAGTAGTGGAGTAAAACTATAAATTCAAGTAGAGCTTAGCTTAACATTTTTATTGTGTGTGATTGGCCCAGAAATGATAAGAGGGAATTTTCATGCTAACGTGCCCTGATACGGTTTGAAACAAAATATTTTCTAGCTATAGTTTTAACAGTATCTCTTGATTTTTGGGAAAACAAAACAAAACAAAAACCCTGATCTTTATTGTTAGAGTTGGTTTGTTTGTTTGTCTTTTTTGTTTGTCTGTTTTGAGAGAAGAGAGGGTTCATTGGCCCAAATTCAGACCTTTGGGCTTTTTGTGGTTTTGGGGTTTTTCTATTCATGCAACCCCTGCCGTTTGCTTATATAACTCTTAAATCCAACCCAAGTGATCAAGAATTAACCTGAGTCAGTTAGGATCCTGGTATCCCGTTATTGGGTTTATCGAGAGCTCCTACCAGGTTTGGAAACTGTGATTTACCATCTTTTGAAGAAATGACTAAAAGCATTGAGTTCGTTATTCTCTATATTGTTTTGATGAGAGGATTGAATTGCATGTACATAGCAGCACTCTTAAAATTATAACACTCGGGCACATGTAGGCTTACAGAGGAAAATGATCTTGATCCTTTTCTACCCCTTCCTTCTGATGCTGTAGACAGGTATGTAGAAGACATCTTTTTCTCCTGGGTAACCTAATCCTCTTAACGCTGATTATTTTCTTGGGCAATTAAGCTTCTGAAAATACCTTCTAAAAGCTTCAATGAACATGTTCTTCAAAGTAATTAAAGGACTTAGCCTCAGTTGTCTGAAACCCATTAAAGGATAATATTTTAGTAAGTATTTTATATCACAAAGTTAGATAAATTAACCCATGATTTTTGCCAATGGGCTTTCCATTGTATTTTGGGTGACATGGACACTTGAAACTCTCAGGAGAGTACTAAGTGTGATTATTGTCATACTCGGGCTGAAATAAGTCCTGCTCCTAAGTATTACGATGCATAGACATTCCTGTGTCTACGATATAACACAAACACATCCGTTTGACACTTCTCTTTATCCTGCTGCTCTGTGAGTTACTGGTCCTGTACTTCTAAAATCCTCAAGGTACCAATCACCCGGGATTTTATTAGAATGCTGATTCTGTTTCACTAGGTCTGGCAAGAGGTCCAAGATTCTGTATTTCCAACAAACTTCCACTTGACACCCTTGCTTCTCACCTGGGTCCACACGGTAGTAATAAGGTCCTAGTAAGCAAGTTACATCTGTTTTTCACTCTGTACCCAGAACTGAGCCTGGTGCTACTTCAGTAGTCACGGGGATAATGTTTGCTGGACTGACTTGGCGAATATAACTGAACAAAAAAATATTCACGTGAGCTTTCTCTATAAATCCAGGAGTTTATAACACTTTCATGCTCCCCTTATTCTGCAAAGGACAGGAGGAAAGAAGTATCTTGTGAAGGTGCCAAGAACCAATTAATGCAATGGTATGTATAGTAGTAAAGTCTCCAGTGACTTATGTTAACTGAAGTGAAAACTAGTACAATTACACCAAGGAAGGAATTTCTATCATTTGACTCATTCCAGTGCCGGCACCATGATCGGAAACCCAATCCCGGGTCCGGGCACTTAGTGTTACAACCATGCTGAGATCTGCGCACCACTATTTTTGGCTCTTTGAGGACTCTGTTCCCAACTGATCAATTATACCTTTCTATCTCTAAGGATAAATTGTAATTGAACTCTTGGGAGTCATGTAAGTTTATTGCTTCGGTAATTCTCTTTAAACATCTTGTGGCAAATGACTTGTTTTAAGTTCACCCAATTTGGTTTCAGGTAGACATTAACAGCATCCTCAGCCAGAGTTTTTGCAGTAAAAAATTACAGCATTACTCTTCTGTTTGTGTTTATATAGATATAGAAGGAAATTATCTATATTCACATAACAGAATTTTAAGAAATTATTGATGTTTGATTCTTTTTTTTTTTAAGATTTTATTTATCTATTTGACAGAGAGAGAGAGACAGCAAGAGAGGGAACACAAGCAGGGGGAGTGGGAGAGGGAGGAGCAGGCTTCCCGCGGAACAGGGAGCCCGATCTGGGACTCGATCCCAGGACCCCGGGATCATGACCTGAGCCGAAGGCAGATGCTTAACGACTGAGCCACCCAGGCGCCCTTGATGTTTGATTCTTATTTTTCCATTTCTCTCTCTTACTTGCTTTTCTTATGCCTCAACCTTAAAGTTGGACCAAACTGTATTCAACAAAATTGACATACTTGGTCTACTTTAGTCAATTTGTCCCTTTTGATTGTTTTATCTTCAACATTCCCAGGAAAATGTGTTAGGTAGCTGGGCCAGCCATGAGTTAACTGTCCTTCAGAATAACCCAACCTTTGTTACAGCTTTTTGTACAGTAATTAGTTCTGCAAAGGGACTCTCTAATAATGGATATTATAAAGAAAAGGAACCGGGGAATGAAAGAACCATTTGCCAAGTCCCCACCTGGTCACAGAATACTGGGGAATGGACACACAGTTGTCACTTCACTCTCAGGAGGCTTGTTAGCATCTCCATTTTAAATAGGAGGGAACGGAGGCTCAAAACAGGCTGTGTGGCTAGCAAGAGATGGAGCTGGGATTCAAGTGCAGGTCGGCTAGTGCCCCATCATCCTTCCTCTGGGACACCATGTTCTTTTTATGAGTTGAGCTTTTGCCATTCTCTCTCCCCACCAACATTCTAAAGATATCCGTGGCTCTTCACTGCTTCCTTAACAAAATGTAAGCCAATTTTCTTGAATACAAGACTTCTTAATCTGAATCCTATTTAACTGAAATCATACTCTCCAACACCATAAATCCCCACCAGGCATCCAAATTCACGAACCCCCCAACATGCCACATGTAACCGACTGTTCAAGAACGCTTCCCTTCTCTGCTTCCTGACATCCTACATTTGTTTCATGCCCTAGATCAAGTCCTGTATTTTCTGTGAGGTCTTCTCTGACTCTGTCAGCTGCCAGTAAGTTCTTATCCACTGAGTTCCCACAAGGGTTAAAACTACAGCATCTTAAGTATGGAAAGGAGCTCATAGAGTCTCTACTTTGTTCTCCCCCTCCTGTCCCCACCTGCGATTGCTGATTGTATCTGACAGATGAAAACCGTGAGAAGTGGAGCAATTCCATGAATGTTATATTCTGGTGGTGCCCAGATTTTCTGTCCTTCGGTGCTGTGCTCTGCATTTTACCTGATTTTCTACCTCCATGACTTAAGAACTCCCTGTCTATGACTGTTTACTTCATAGTGTGAGTAGGTTATTTTGCACGACTTTTTTTACAAATTTCTCCTGCCACCACAATTATATGGAGGATGGGATGTGGTATCATGTATCTCCGGCTCCGAGGCCCTAATATACACAAGAATACTTAATGAACATATATTGAGAAGGAGGATGGATCATTTTATCATTCTTCCTTTTTACTGGCTCCCCAAAGATGACTGCTTCATTGTAATTTTGCTGACTTATTTAAATGACAAAGTAGATGGCTATTTAATGTATTCATGACCTTTAGAACATGAGACTCATTTTTACTTGCTATTTACAGAATGAGCAGCTTTCCTATGTTTGATTCCATAAGGTTTGTATATGATGTGTCTTTATTCCTCATGATTTTTAAAATGTATTGATAACAAAATGACTTTTAAAATGTATTGGTAACAAAATTAACCAAAAATAGTCACCACTTTCTGTGTATACATATGTATATGCACATTTTTAAAAAGTCTATATACCCAGGTTTCAAAAGCAACTTGAAGGCTTGTAAATGAATTTATATATGTATCCTCAATCTAGTCATGACTATAAAACATGTTTTCCTTAGTCAAATTTCCTTTTCAGTTTATATTTTAGTGCAAAAATAACTAATTCGGATCGTTTAAAACTTTAGATTCCATATCAAAATATTTCATCAAATGAGAATTACTCTTCCTACACGGAGAAGCTTTTGAGATAAAGGCACTAATCTACTTAAGAGGTATATCTGAATGACTAGAGTGTTCGTACGTTTTCACACTTCCTACAGGAATCAATTTGTAGTTTTTGCTTCCCTTTTGGAAACATTTCCCAGAGAGATTACATTCTTATATACAGCAAGAAACTGTAAAAGTAGGCAATATTTCAATAACCAATGTAATGTATGGTCCCTTATGAATAGTAGGAGCTTAATATATTTCCCTTCTGCCATTACTTTTTTGCACTTAGGGGCTAAATCCAGCATTTAAGAGCTATTTGACAGTACGAATCTCCAGGAAAGAACAGAGGCAGGTTTTAATTTAAGTAGCAGCTACGGAGTGATTCGCTGGGGTGACAATCATTTTGATCAAGGGAAGCATTTATCTTAATAGAAAGTTATCCTTACAGTTCTCTTCCATTTCCAGACATCTTGAATCCACCGAAGGGGCACTGGGCAGATACCACGCTATAGCAATTCACCCTGAGAAAAAAAGAAGTGTATTATAGATCATATTTAACCTAGGAAATAACTCCTGAATTTGGAATTTTAACAACCTTAACAACCCTGTTGATTTCAATATAACATACTCATTGTTATTTTTTTTTTTAAAGCAGTACTATAAATTAGCATGTGGAAGTATATGTATATGTACGGCCTAGAAAGAAATAGAATGGTACAGCTCTGTGTGTGGATAGTCATTTTGGTAGTACATTGTGTCCCTGAGAAGTTGTAGTTTGAAATATAAAAGATAGTATAACCAACATGCCATAGGAGAAAGGATATGGTTTGCCAGAGAACGGGAGTTTGTTGGGTGGGTGTTCTTTATTGCTTTCATAAGCCTTGTAATTCTCTTGAGGATTGTGTACATAACAGGCTAGAATCAATCATCTTTTGCAATTGTAATATGTATTACATTACTCAGTTCACTTTTTCCATTAATTCGTTTAATAAATTACTTAAATAGGACTTAGCAGGAGTTGGATTTCACTATTAGCTTATCCCTTGCCATATTTCTTAAAATGTTTAAAGATGTTCTATGAACAAATATAATTACAAAAACATGAGTAATTAGAATTAAAGGAAAAATTATGATAAAAGGTCAAGACAAGGAGGAAAATTTAGAATACAGTTTTGCAGGGCATGAGCAATTTGTTTAGCTTTCAGTCTCCTGGTGGCCAAGGTGAAGAGCAAAATTTAATTACCTGTATGACTCATTATGTGTAAGGAGAAAAAATATTATTTGAAGGAGAAACAATGTTCTTTTAAAATATTTCCTCTCCCTTGATGTTGCTACAATAGGAGAACAACACTGTGACTTCTAGATACATTGTATTATGCATGCAAATTGGATTATGAATTTGATCCTGAGATAATATTCAGTCATTTCTTCAGTGAAAGCATTTACTATCCAAATTCCCAGAGCTCCATGTTCTCATTGGACCACAGTTTCTTATCCAAGTCTCTCCTTCTGGAGCATAGTTCCTTAAATAAATGTATGCTTTCAAAAGACAACTTGTCTAGGTTTGTTTAATTGTTCTTCTACTACAAAACCAGATCCCTACTCTGAAATGATGGGTAAAATCCCAACAACCCTGGGATTCAATAATTATCCTGAAAACACCAAGTGGAAACTATGTCTGGGACAATGCCAGAAACAGAATTATGTTCTAGAATAAATAGCAATAAGAATATGCCTCTGTTTTAATAGCAGAGGAATTCCAGACTGGGGATTTCCACATCACTGGGCAGAATGATGTCATATGCTCAGTCCAATCCAGCAGGCATAGAACATTCCAAAGTAAAAAACCTGAAACTTGTCTTTTTATGTTAAAATGTGCAGAAAATGAGTTTGCTCTTTTGATCCTATCCTGGAAGTGAAAATATTTTCATTTAAGTAAATGGAGAACTAAGAAATATTCAGTTAGAGAAAACTATTAATTTCAAAATAATCAGCCTTGCCAATTGATTCTCCTTCCACAGCCTTTTCTTGTTATAAAGAAGGGAGGTTCCAAGCCCACGAGCCCTGGCTTTGCCCCCTTAGGACCCAGGTGATACTGAGAAAGGTATCTGGCCTCTCTAAACATATATTTTCTCCTCTGTACAATGGAAGTGATAATATTTAACCAGATTATTTCAAGGCATAAGTAAGGTGATGAATAGCAGGTACTTTATTTTTTTTAATAGAATGTCCTTCTTATAGTGGCTTCTTATAGTGGCTTATAGTCAACTAAAATTGACAAAACTTCTTATATAGTGGAAGTTTTTAGTAACTGCAGATAATATACATACATGTAATAGTAATGCTGAATCTTATTAATAATTTTATCATAGGAAAATTGCACTTTAATCACTAGCCCTACTGATTATTTAAGAAGAATTTGCTTGAGTTTAAGTCTTGGAAAGAAAACATCCCACTATAGAAAGAATCAGGCTTTCGAGCAGTTTCTCTGTCCTGGTTGCACAAAGAATCACATGGGAGCTTTGAAAAATACTCTTTAAATAAAAACCTTTAAATAAAAGTCCACATTCAATCGCAGAGATTGATATAATTGATGGATTTGATGGTCACCACCCTATGCCAAGTCAGTTTATTATTATTTTTAAAGCTCCCCAGATGACTCTAATGCACAGTCAGGGTTGAGAATCACTACTTTCGAGTCTGAAATAGGTCTGCGTCTCAGCAGCCATTTATTGTGTGAGCTTTGATCAGTGACTTAACTTCACTAAACTTTCGTTTTTTTCATCGATAACTTTGACATAACAATTACACTGTTGTTATAAGGTGAAATGAGATAATGAACATAAGGAACAGAGAACAGTGCCTAGCATAGAGTATACTGACTAAATGGTGACTCTCTCTTTGATTGGGAAAAAAGATTCCAGAGCTACACAGTGGGGCAAGGACTGCTTGGCTGTCCCTTTTAAGGATAAATATTTTTCAGCCTCCTTGCACAGTAATGCAGGGTTGGGAAAGAAACAGCGGGCTGCTTTTCCTCAAAATTGTGAAGCCTCAGGGCACCTGGCTGGCTCAGTTGGCGGAGCATATGACTCTAGATCTCGGGGTTGTGAGCTCAAGCCCCATGTTGGGCATAGAGATCACTTAAAAATAAAAATAAATAAATAAAAGGATAAATACTTTTCATTGTCTAATGGATTTTTAACTGGAGTAGGTGTGACTGATTATCTGGAAGGAAAATCATCTTTAAATATTGACATGGACTGAGGGGACAAAGTGAGTTTCGCTGGGGTAAAAATTACCAACCAAGCAGTCCGGACACTGGGGGCTGGGCAGAGGTGCAACAGTTTGAGAGGCATGGCCTTAAAGTATAAAAATCAAGAGATATAAATGAAGATACAATATAAATCAGATATAAAGCATGTATAAATCAGGTTAAAAATGAAGAGACATGTTTCTCAAAACTACTATGTTCTTCCTAATTAAGACCTTCAGACATCTCTAATAAACCCAGAATAAGAAACCGATATAAGAAATAAACATTTGCAGACATAAGAGCATCACGTAAATATTGTCCTACTATATAATTAAATTGATTAAAGCAGAAGTTCATCTCCCTTGTGTATAGCGCAGTGCCAAGTACCTAAAAATTATTTAGTAACACTTATATTAGCCAAACATTAAAATATTTGGGGTAAGCAATTTAGGGGCTAGATACCTAGAAAATAGCCTTCTAAAGTTCTTCCAATATAGTAGGGTTTTTGTTTTGCTTTTTGTTGTTGTTGTTTGTTTGTTTCGTTTTGGCTTTGGTTTTAAGGCAGTAACTGCTTGTCCAGCAGGCCACGTGATTCCAAATGAAAAAAATCAAAGTCTGAAAAAATTCAAAGTGAGGTGTGGTCCAAGATAGTAGCAAGGTTTATCCTGAACTCACCTTTCCCCATGAATGCATACATAAACAATCTGACTTTACACCTAAAGAAACCAGAAAATGAAGGAAGAATGAAGCTTAAAGTTAATAGAAGGAAGGAAGTAAGAAAGGTCTCAGTGGAATAGAGAATGGAGAGACAGTAGAAAAGATCCATAAAACTAAGAGCCTGTTCTTTAAAAAGATAAACAAAATTGACAAACCTTTAGCTAGACTTACCAAGAACAAAAGAGAGGGTTTAAATAAATAAATCAGAAATGAAAGAGAAGTTATAACCAGTACCACAAAATTAGAAAAGATCATAAGACAATACCATGGATAATTATACACCAACAAATTGGACAACTTAGAAGAAATGATTAAATTCTAAAAAAAGTGAGAGTTTTCAGGACTGAATCATGAAGAAATAGAAAATCTAAATAGACCAATTACTAATAGGAAATTGTATCAGTAATCAAAAAATTCCCAACAAACGAGTTCAGGACCACATGGATTTATTGGTGAATTCTACAAAACATTCAAAGATTTACTACCTATCCTTCTCAAACTCTTCCAAAAATTTAAAGACAAAATTCATTTTATGAGGCCGGCATCACCCTGATACCAAAAACAGACAAGGACATGACAATAAAAGAAAATTATAGGCCAATATCCTTGATGAACACAGATGCAAAATCTCCAACAAAATATTAGCAAACCAAATTCAATGATACATTAGAAGAGTCATACATCATGATCAAGTAGGATTTATTCCAGGGATGCAAGGATGGTTCAACATCTGCAAATCAATCATCACGATCCACCACATTAACAAAATGAAAGTTAAAAATCATATGATAAGCTCAATAGATGCAGAAAAAAATTTGACAAAATTCAACATCCATTAATGATAAAAATTCTCAAAAAATGGGGATACGGGGAATATAGCTCAACGTAATAAAAGCCATGTATGACAAACCCACAGCTAACATCATACTCAATGGTGAAAAGCTGAAAGTTTTTCCTTTAAGATCAGGAACAAGACAAGCATGTCCACTCTCATCATTTTTATTCAACATAATACTGGAAGTCCTAGCCAGAGCAATTAGGCACAAAAAGGAAATAAAACTATCCAAATAGGAAAAGGAGAAGTAAAACTGTCACTAATGGAACAGAATAGAGAACTCAAAAATAAACCCATACATATATGGTAATTGATTTATGACAAAAGAGGCAAGAATAGACAATGGGGAAAGGACAGTCTCTTCAATCAGTGGTGCAGGAAAAACTGGACAGCCACATGCAAAATACTGAAACTAGGTCACTTTTGTACACAATACACAAAAATAACTCAAAATAAAGACTTCAATTTAAGACTTGAAACCATAAAGCTCTTAGAAGAAAACATAGGCAATAAGCTACTTGACGTCAGTCTTGGCAATAAATTTTTGAATCTAACCCTAAATGCAAAGGCAACAAAAGCAAAAATAAACAAGTGGGGACTACATCAAACTAAAAACTTCTGCACAGCAAAGGAAACCATTACCAAAATGAAAATACAATCTATACTGAATGGGAGAAAATATTTTCAAATCATATATCCAATGAGAGATTAATCTCCAAAATACATAAAGAACTCATACAACAAATAACCAATCAAAAAACAAAGAGTCCAATAAAAAATGAGCAGAGGATCTACATTAGACATTTTTCCAAAGAAGATATGCAGATGGCCGACAGGCCCATGAAAAGATGCTCAACATCACTCATTATCAGGGAAATGCAAATCAAAACCACTTGAGATTTTACCTCACTCCTGTCAGAATGACTAGTTTCAAAAGGATAAGAAATAACAGTGTTGGTGAGGACACAGAGAAAAGGGAACTCTCTTGTGCTGTTGGTGGATATGGAAATTGGTGCAGCCACTATGGAAAACAGTATGGAAGCCCCTCAAAAGATTAAAAATAGAACTATCATATGATCCAGCAATTCTACTTCTGGGTATTTATCCAAAGGAAATAAAAAGATATATGCACCCTATGTTCACTGCAACATTATTTGCAATAGCCAAGATATGGAAACAACCTAAGTGTCCATGAACAGATGAAAGGATAAAGAAGATGTGATATATGTGTACAATGGAATATTACTTAGCCATAAAAAAGAAGGAAATCCTTGCCATTGGTGACAACATGGATGGACCTTGAAGGTATTATGCTAAGTAAAAGAAGTCAGAGTAAAACAGATATTGTATGATTTCACTTACATGTGGAATCTAAAAAACAAAACAAACAAAACGTATAGATACAGAGAACAGGCTGGTGGTTGCCAGAGGGGTAGGATGTTGGGAGTGGGAGATACATGTGAAGGGGGTCAAGAGGCACAAACTTCCAGGTATAAAATAAATAAGTCATGGGGACATAATATACAGCATGGCAACTACAGTACATAATTGTGTATTGCATATTTGATAGTTGCCAAGACAGTAAATCTTAAAAGTTCTCATCACAAGAAAAAAAATTTAATTTTGGAGAGTGACTGATGATAACCAGACTTATTGTAGTGATCACTTTGCAGTGTATACAAATATCAAATTATTGTATCGTACACCTGAAAATAATACAATGTCAATACCTCAAAAATAAATAGGTAAATAAAGAACAAAGTTCAAAGTAACATGTTAATGTGATTGACGCTGAAAAGACGATATGTAGATTTGACTTACCATACTGTCCCAGCCTGCAGAGCGGAGGAAACTGTTATGGCTTTATCAATATCTTTGGTAAAGATTCCTGCTGATAAGCCATAAAGAGTATTATTTGCTCTCTTGATCACGTCATCTAAAGATTTAAACTTCATGATTTGCTGCACTGGTCCAAATATCTATACCATAAAAAAATGAATGAAATAAGTCAAAGTAACAGATGAAAACTAAATATCTTAAATGGTATTGTAGTTTTATTCCCCTACAAACTACCATAAACTAAGATTTTACTTTGCATCTCAAAGTGTAAGAATCAAAAATGGTAGCTGCTGGAATGGGAGGTTTAGATAGGCAATGGTCATGTGTTAAATTCCCTTTGGAACAAAATGGGGTAGAAATAAATAAGGTAATATTAATTTTCTTGTTGTTGGAATTAGACTTCCAAGAACTTACCACTGTGTATAAAGTCATTAACTTCAGAGTTTCTTTTACATTTAAGAATATTTTATATTCTCTCCCTAGTTTTCCACATCAAGTCACTACATAAACAGCAAACTCAAGAAAGTAATGCTTGCTCTACTGGATAAATGAATAAGTAATAATTGATAATAATTATTTTGTTTTAAATATCAGTGTATCATCAACTGAAATACCACCTATTTTACTGGACTTAGATCTTTTTATAATCAGCCAAATTAGCTGAAACAACATGAATTTTTGTTCGGATTCTGTTCTTCAGCCAAATCTTAAGCAACTTACATGTACCAAGCAAAATGATCCATTACTGTAAGAGCTTAAATCCTCAACCACTAACTAAAGCATGGGTTCATTAATAATGACTATAATCATAGGATGGGAAACAAACTCCCAATTTGCTCATTCAAACCTAAATTGTTCTTTTACTTTTGCTAGATTCTCTAGTTAGCTCAGCCCAAAGTCAACTTATTCTGTATCTCATCCCCAGATGGGAGAAAAACAAGTGGGTTTTCTCTTAAAAATTAAGCTCTTGTATTATGTTTCTGTAAAACATATATTAAAATTAAGCAAAGAGGGGTCCTTCTGAGTGTTACTAAAATTTTCTGAGAAATGTAAGTTAGTGGGAGGCAAAAATCAGAAAAGAGAGTTTTCTGGTGTTCATCACTGATCTAAGTATTGGAGTTGGGGGTTACAATTCCACAAAGGCTGAGTATAAATCCTAAGGCTGTAAATCTAATTATTGTATTGTAACCTGGGAACCAGATACATAGCAGCTATGGTAATAAGTGTGTTAATATCTTACCTAATTTTAATTGAACAAAGCACATGGTTCAAGGCTTCTTTGAAGCAGCAAACAAGCTACCCTACTATGTATATTACAGGAACACAATAAATGTTTCCTTGATTGAATGTATTTTTTTGCCTTTATCTTTTCCCATGGCATGCAAGAACAGCAGATCCAATAAGACAAATATTTGTCAATACATGCAAAATTTACATGCAAATAAATGCAAAAAAAAATCAGTTGACAGCTGAATTGGTGTTGAGAAACTATGTTTGATTATCCATATGTATCTTTTGCTTTATTTTTCCTGTTTATTTACTGCTTGCAAATTTGATTATGCACTTTCCCCCTTGCTTGATGGCATTTTGGGAGGTAAAGAAAATAACCCTTTTAGATTCTCTATCATATCATAAACATGAAATATAAATTCACTGGATGAAAGATTATGATTCAGTACATTTGAATTGGCAGTGCCTTCTTGTTATAGTTTATTATGGGATACCTTCATAGCCCAAAGCCAGTGAATCTATCTCTGTATTTATTAAAACCCCTCTGTCCAGGGCACCTGCGTGGCTCAGTCAGTTAAGCATCTGACTCTTGATTTCAGTTCAGGTCATGATCTCAGGGTCATGAGATCGAGCCCCGTGTCAAGCTCCACACTCATTGCGGAGTCTGTCTGAATTCTCTCCCTCTCCCTCCGTCCCTCCCTCTGCTCGTGTTCTCTCAAAAAATAAATCAATAAATAAAATCTTAAAAAAAATAAAACCCCTCTGTCCACGAGGTAGATTATTTATAATTCCTAAATGCAAACTAGCCTTTCCTAGTTATATAGTTATATATCATGTCTCTGGATAACATCTTCTTAATGTTAATTAGTTTGTGCTCACCAAATATTGAACAGCAATATATTTGTCTAGGAAAATTAGGAAGTGCAAGAGCTGAAAACAGGGCCAAGAGCATATGGAGGGTGAGGAGCCATGTAGGGGATGAATGTTATTTTCAAATATATGGATGGCTCTTATGCGGAAAAGGGCATAGTGCAGATATGAGGCCAACAAGCAGAACTTAAGAGGAGGGATTCATATGCAGCTAGAGGGACCTTTCTAGTGCTTAGCATTGTCCAGACACGGAAAAGTCTAAGAAATAATGAGTTACCTGTTGATGATGCTGTTTAAAGAGACACTGGCTGGCCAATGGCCAGGAGCAAACCAATGATCATAGTGGGATTGGAGAGGTGAGCTTAAGAGATCCTTCCAGTTTTATGAGGCTATAATTCCGTAACAGTAACAAGTCACTTAAGCTCTTTGGATCTCAATTACCTCATCTATAAATTTGACTTTTGGCCTGAGTTATCCATAATCTTCCTTCTAACATTAACACACTATCACTTTTTAACAGAATGGTTCCCACATGCTCCATGGGATTCTACACTGTTAGGTTAGGTGGGATTGGGTGGATAATGAAGTCAATATGAGCAACAGTAGGTCACATAGAAAGAGTGGGGAATGGTGGTCATGAGAGTTAGACTATACCTCCAGGCTGCTTAGCTGGGCGTGTGACCTAGCTCTTTCCTACTTTGGGCCTTAGGTTTTTTATCTACTACTTAGGATGATAACAAGAATCATAAATCATAGTTGACTATGCGGCTCAAAGGAGAACTCAAGATATAAAAGGCATAAAGGTACAAAAAGGTTCTAAAAAGTTTGACATGTTCTATTCACAGGGGTAATAAAATATATATAACATGTAGGAACTGAAAACAACTACTATGTCATTATTTAGGAAAATTCTTGGATCAGAATACTATGTTTAATTTTATTTAGTTTCCAATCATTATAATGTAACATAGGAATCATACACCTTATAAATGTTCTGAGATTTTTTATTAGAAAAAAATACCAGTCTAAATAGGTGAAAATAATAAAAGAGAGTATTTATCTCTGGGAAGAAAAGACTACAGGCTTTCTTCTTGTATTGGAGAAATTCTATGAGAAGAAAACAATATAATGATACCTCTCTCAAGAGGTTGTGAGAATTAAATAAGAATATTTCATGTTTATATTAAATATTTTATTTCTTTATATAAATATATTTATATACATGTATAATATACACTAAACTTTATAAAAATGAATAGGAATGTCAGAAATATAAATCTTTACATAAATAAAGCATTTATATTTATTATTTTTCATAAGAATATATTTATATTTTACACTGTTTATAAGGCACTTAGCTCTATATCTGGCACATAGTGAGCAATCACTAAATGGTTCTTATTATTAATAAAAACAACCAAACAAAACTACAGACCAATATCCCTCAAACTACAGACCAATATTAACTACAGCAAATATTCCTAGAAAGTATTAGCAAATAATATTCAGCAATACCCACAAAGAGTTATACACTATCACCAAGTGAGAATCATTCCAGAGATATAAGGCTGGTTCAGTATTCAAAAATCAGTTAATACAAGACACCACACTGATAGAATGAAGAAAAAATACCGCATAATCGTCTAAGTTGATGCAGAAAAAGCATTTGACAAAATCCATCCTCCTTTTCCTCTCAACAAATTTGGAATAGAAAGGCACTTCCAAAACCTGATTAAGGGCATTTATGAAAATCTCACAGCTAATATCATACTCAGTGACAAAGACTGAATGCTTTTCCCTTACGATAGAGAACAAAACAAAGATGCTCACTCTTGCTACTCTTATTCAACATAGTGCAGAATTCGAGCAAATGAAAAAGGCAAAAAAAGGAAATAAAAAGCATACAAATGAGAAGAGAAGGAATATAGTTGTTCCTATTTGTAATGACACAATTGTCTACATACAAATTCTCAAGGAATCTCCAAAAACCTCCTAGAATTACTGAGTTTGGCAACATCAAGAAAATATACAAAATCAGTTATAACTATTTATACTAGCAATAAGCGTATGCATACAAAAATTAAAGATTCTACTTACAATAGCTCAAAAAAATACTTAGGCATAAATTCAATAAAACATGTTTAGGACTCATATACTGAAAACTATAAAATCCTGATGAAAGAAATCAAGGAAGGTATAAATAAAGAGACAAACCATGTTCAATGACTGGTAGATTCCATACAATAAAGATGTTAATTCTCACCAAATTGATAAGACACGTTTAACACAATTCCTCTGAAAATTCCAGCAAGATTTTTTAAAATATATATGGACAAGGTTATTCTAAAATTTATATGGAAAAGCAAAGGAACTAGGTTAGCTAAAACAATTTTGAAGAAGAATGAAGTGAGAGGATTCAGTCTTCCCAATTTCATTTATTATTTTTGTTGCTCTGCAATAAAAAGGAACAAACTATCCTGAGATACAACAACCTAGATGAATCTGTAGAAAATTAAGCTGAGTGAAAAAAAAAAAAAAATCCAATCCCGAAGGGTTGCATGGAGTATGAATCCACTTATGTAAAATTCTTGAAATGACAAAATTATAGAAATGGAAAACAGATTAGTGGTTAAGGGAAAGCCTGGGCTTAAGGATAGGGGTTTATGGGAGGGCCATGGATTTGGCTATTCAAGAAACATGAGGGATTCATATGCTGATGAAATGTTCTGTGTTTTGTCTGTTTCAGTGTCAACATACTTGCTGTGATATTATGCTATAGTTTTGCGAGATGTTGCCATTTGTACGAAACTGGGTAAAAAGCAAGGGAATCTGTCTGCATTCTTTTTCATAACAACAGTTGAATCTACAATTATCACAAACTAAGTTTAATTGAAAAAAAAATCTTGCATATCATGTAATCATTTTCCAATTATCTTTGAATATATTATTTCCAGAGGAGAAAAAGCAACAACGAAATGAAGTTTTCTTTTCCATTACTTCAAAGCTATGGAAGAAGCCCCTAGAAATTGTTAAGCATCCTGATCTGTCTTTGGCTGGAAATTCTTGGCTGGCCTCATGACTTCCTTACTATTTTTAGTCTTGATTACAAATAGACATTTATCAGTAACAGAAATGAAAAGTAACATTCACCAAGAAAGATGTTAAAAGAACTGAGGATTTTATTTTATAAAGATTTATTTATTTATTTATTTTAGAGAGAGTGCATGTGTGTGTGAGCTGAGAAGGGAGGCAGAGGGGGAGTGAAAGGGTCAAGAGGGAGGGGATGGAGAATGAGGGGAGAGAAGCTTAAATTGGTAAATGACCCTGAGATCATGACCTGAGCCAAAACCAGGAGTGGGATGCTCAACCAACTGAGCCACCCAGACTCCCCAAGAACTGAAAATTTTAAAGGGAGGCTTTGTACACACACATAGAGAACATATGGCAACAAAGGGAACAGAGCAGAATGAAAGTATTTACCTCCTCTTTGGCAATGCGCATGTCGTCTGTAACGTTAGAGAAGACCGTGGGCTGGATGAAGTAGCCTTTATTCCCCCATGGGCCTCCACCACACTCCAGTTTGGCCCCTTCTTTCTTCCCACTCTCAATGAGGTCAAGTATTTTTTCATATTGTTCCTTATCAATCTGTAGGAAAAATATCACATGGAAAGGAAAATAAATGAATAAAGTAAGTTTATAAGGGTAATATATTGCCCAGCCTGTTAATGAGGGCTTCAAAATGCTAGAGTATTGTTACTGAGTGAAATCTTCCATCAAAACAGCTGACAGAGGCTCAGATTCATTCTGTGTTTATTCTCCTGACTTTTCTAGAAAGAACACTTACAGGTAAATATTTGTATTCAGCATTTGCTTTACCATTACATAAGCAAAGCACATCAGCCCTGCGAACAAATGTAAACATCTTCACACTACTGTCATTTATTTTCACTGGAAAAAAAATGCCTGTTAACAGTCAAACACACTTGAAAACTATAGTCCTAACTGAAATAAAGAGGAAAAGGAGAAGAGAACTTTGATACTGGGTTTAATGAAATTTGGCAGTTGGAAAGCAGATGCTTTAGGGCTTTGAAGACCCCTAGACTTCTGTTTGCTCCTCGTTCCTGACAACCTCCTCTGGCCGGATACACGCTGACCACAGCCTGGGCATCCTCCCGTCCAGGTCCCCGTGGGGCAGTCTCAGTAGGTCGATCCCAGTTTCTAGCCTGTCCTATTAGCATCTCGCTTCATCACAGAGACTACCTCTAAAAACATGACAAGAATGACAGAGCCTGAATGGTTTGTTAAGCAATATTTTTTATAAGGAAAAAAAGCAAAAACAAAAGCAAACCTAACTCGAGTTTGGGCTGGGATACCCGGAGCACACATCTTCCCCCCATGCACTGGAATTGGGGTTATGTATTGTCTCAATTGTCTCAATTTTGGGAGGCTGAAAAACTTAGTGATTTTTGGACTCCAAATCACTGGTCAAGACTGCCCTGTCTCAGGTGTGGCCGGGGTTAAGTTTTAAAGGAAAAAGATTGAAGATCCAGGAGTTAAGGTGAAGGGCCTCTTGCCAGTTCAGCCTGTTTTTTCTCACTACTTAAAAAGTGTTGCTCTTTATCTTCTTCTTTGACTCTGCAATCTTCCTCATCTTCCAAATCCCAGAAAAAGGTCACAAACTAACTGCACACAGCCCAGCTCCCATATCCAATGAGATTAAGTGCTATTTGAAACCAGAAACCGTTTTCTAAAATTTGGCACAATATTTGGTACAATGTTGCTCAGTCCTCCTTTGTGCATGATATTTAAATGAATATTTCAAAGGGAAACGTTCCTTCATTTCCAGCAGATCAAGGAAGTTGTAATGTTGGTTTAATAACTGTTGGTTTGATATTTAAATTGCTGCCTAGTATTTACTACAGCCAGACTAAGGGGTGGTGTTAGTTCTGTCTGGTTAAAATATTCAGGTTTCCAGCAACTAGCCAAGGATCCATGTATCTCCATGCAAAGCTTCTCTGGCCTCTTCCAAAGTATTAATCTCACTATGGCCTCAAAAAATCATGATTTTGGAGCGTTTCATTTTAAGATGTATTCCCTAAGTCATAACTTGTACCTGCCTGTGACCAGAGTGGATATTTGGGGACAGTCCTTGTCTTGCTTATGCACTGGGAGGTAAAGGCGGGAAGAATTTGTTTGTTGGAAAACTTAGATGGTCAATAACTTCTAAGAATACAGGAATTCATAGAGTAGGGTCTGGCTACTGACAATGTGGTTCTCTAGCCAGCCACTCTAGCGTTCCTTGGTGGCAAAATGCATTTCTTAGGCCTCACCCGAGACCTACTGCATCAGAATTCGCATTTTTAATGAGATTCTCAGGTGATTCAAATGCACAGGAAAGACTGAGAGCCTTGCACCAGAGTTTAGGCCTAGTGATGGAAGTTTTCAGTCATACCTAGGGACATACTCAGTGTAGTCTGGCTAATTTTGTTTCACCATAAATACAAATCTTCCTCAGAAGGTTTCAGATTGGCCATACCTGAATTTGGCTTTCCTTTTGGCCCTCAGGAACTTCTCAGTAAGGCTAGGATGTAGCAGGGGCTCTTTACCTTGTGATGGGCCATTAGCTCATGGGCTAGTCTATGAGACGTAATAGGGCATGGCATTGTAAGAGTCTCAAAGTATACATTTTGATGTGTTTGAATGTGCAAATTATTTAATTCCTTAGGGTTGATGGGTTGAGAAAGAAAGTTTGAGAAATGACACTGAAACATCCTTTAAATCATTTGGAAACCAAAGATCAACAAGAGCAATGAGAGCGGATATATGAAGTTATTGATCTGTGATAGTAATTGTCACCATAGGTATAAATGGAAGCATGCAATTTTCATTTACTCAACAGACATCTGAGCACATACTGTGAACCAGGCACTCAGATGCTTTGTATAGATTATTACATTTCACTGTGCACTGACCCTGCAAGATTGGTGTTACTACTTCCACTTTACAGATGAGAAAACAGAGCCTCAGGGAAGTTAGATTTTAAATCCAGCCACTATTTTGAAAGTCCATGTCTCTGCATTAGGACAAGATGCAACTTCTGATAATGTTATAACCTTTGATGTGGGTTATGAAATCAAATTGGAAAATCACTTTACCAATGAAAAAATATAAAATATAATGTGACTAAGATAAAACAACATATTACTTCATTTACCAGCTGAGTTATTTGAGGGCTTTTAGGTTTTAATATTTGGCACTGCCTAAATCCTAAGGTTTTCCTACTTGGCTATCTTGGCATGGGCAGAAAAACCCAAGTTAGCCTTTTAACTCTTCCAGACTGTAAACTCCATGAGGTCAGGTAGCATATCCTCCTTGTTCCTTTGGGCATTGTCAGGTACTTATCCCAGAGTTTAGCCTTCTTTAACACTGGGAGTTAGATGCATTGCTTTTTTTTTTTTTTTTGAAACACCAAACTGATACAGTATTGTCACCTAGGAAGATCTATGGTAAGGAAACAATCTTACTCAATAAAAAGCAAACCTAGAGAGGACACTTTATTCTTGTCCCCTGTGAATGCTATTCCTTCTTTTGTATACTCACTTGAGGGCCTTGATTGACTCCTGGGGCCAGAGGATTTCCAAGGACATAGTTTTTAGCCCGTTCAACACTCCGTCGGACAAACTCATCGTAAATCGATTCTTCCACAAAAAGCCTGGATGCAGCTATACAACACTGGCCTTGGTGGTAGAACAACCCCTGGTGTGCAAATTCAACGGCATTGTCCACTGCAAAGAAGATACTCACGTTGAAGAAGAGATTTTTTTTTTTAAAGATTACATATTTGTATACATCGCTCTCAGAGGCAATAGGATGCTATAGAAAAATTATGAGTTGCACAGTCAGATGTGGATTCAATACACCCCACCTCTTATCAGCCAGGTGACAAATTAACCTTTCTAATCCTTTATTTAATATGGAAATGATAGCCACAAATATAGAATCTGAAAAAATTAATATAGACACTACCAAGAATATAGAAAGTGTCATAAGATCCTATCCCACTGCAAATGATTTTTAGATATTTTTATTTTAGAGAGAGAAAGAGAGAGCACATGCACATGGGGGGAGGGGCAGAGGGAGAGAATCTCAAGCAGATTCCCTGCTGAGCATGGAGCCTGACCTGGGGCTTGATACCAGGACCCTGAGATCATGACCTGAGGCGAAACCAAGAGTGGACGCTTAACTGACTGAACCACCCAGGCACCCCTACACAGGATTTTTATAAAAATCTCTGTTTATAATTAGTTAGATGACTGAATATCTAAGGTCTCAGATTTTAACTAAATGACAAGGAAAACATGAACTATCTATTTTTTTTCCACTTTTAAAAAGGTGAATTTGATGGTATCTAAACTGTTTTTCAATCGAGGTGTTACAAAACAAAACAAAAAAGGTTAGAAAAGTTTATTTCCATCCCTGGGTTGTGGTCTCTCTGAGGACAGGAAAGAAATATTGTTAATCTGGGTTATTCCAAAGGCTAGTACAGTGCCAGGATAGTATTTCATATTCCCATTTCTTTCTTTCTTTCTTTCATTATTTATTTGTTTATTTGATGTAGTGTTCCATGATTCATTGGAAAACATGACCTATCTGTTGCATTAAATAATTTAAAAATATTTTTAGACACCCTGATCAATAGGAAAAATGATATTTCTGAAAAAAAATTAATATTCAAAATCACTCACCCACCTTGATGGCCCTGTTCCAGGAAAAACATTTTCCAACTTTATTTAAAATATTCCATATTATTTCATACATGCCTATAAACTCTTCTTATCTACGTATGTGAGACGGTAGAATGGGGCTTGAAAGGGAAAAATAGGTTGTCATCACTAAATCCTAAACAACCTGAGGTTTTCTCTGCATTTTAATTTTTTAAATGGTGGAGATTTAATTCAACATTATAGCAATTGAGTATTGTGATATTTACTTTGTGAACTAACCGCACCTACTTAAGTTGTAATGGAAACAGTTTCTAGAGAGGTTTGGTAAAAATCAGGACTCTTATCATATTTGTGGAATATATAATAAGGCAGTGTGTTCTGAAAAGCTTCGGCTAA